TTTTTGGCAGTTCGCTGCCATTTTCCCTCCTTTTCACACAACCGTACATAGTTTGATGGATCAGAAAACCTGTCGTTGTGGTTTTTCACTCGAATCAAACACCGACATAGCAAGGCAAGGGCTGGTACACAAAAAGCCCAAATTGAGGGGTCGAAAATTGAGGTGGGGGATAATATTTAGAATATATTAATGGCAACCGAAGGGGCAAAAGGACCGGGGGGTGTGGGGGTGTCACACCTCCCCGATAGTATCTCAATGAGAAATTTCAGGTAAAATCTCAATAAATTAACAACAAATGTTGCCAAGTTTGTACGAGAAATAATCAGACAAGGCAAAAAATTGGAAATTCTCCTGTGAACTGAATCAAAACTCAATTTCTAGGCATAGATTTTTACTCATTACTTTTGATTGTACACTATTAATTGTCGCATTTTTTATGTTGCTACTGTTGTTTAATCTGCTGCAAATTGTTGCTTATTATGTTTGTAAGAAGAAGCACTCGATTAACGTAAATAGCTGATGTAAGAATGGCTCTTCAACTAAGTGTATTTAGATAAATTAATTTTTTATGATGATGATGAAAACGCCAAACATTGGTTGCGTGTTTGCAATACTGCGCCATTCAATCGCCTGGGGAGAAAATGACATTGATGTGCCTACAAGAAACTGATGGTTTGCCCAGAAATAATTTTACTGAGGCGGAAAGTTGACTTCTTCTTTTATCCAAATTATAAGTTGTAAGAGAAATTAACAATAAATATTTGAAATTAACAACAATGGAGTAAACAGGTTACTTGCTTTTTTTATTAAAAAGGTATCTAGGCCAAGATGGCCTCTAACGTAATTACAACATTAATATAACAAGAAAAGTTAATATAGTTACTGCTACAGCAACTTTTCAAACGTTAATATCAAACTCAGTTTCATGAAAAATACAATGGTTAAATGCGTATGTTTTCTGTGTTTGACATCAAAGGCTAGAGAGGGGGGGCTTAATAGAGAGGGGAGGTTTATTTAAAGGTTTTGCTTGATAAGGGGGGACTTAATAGAGAGGGGGGCTTAATAGAGCTTTTATGGTAGCTCAAAATGCGTTTTAGAACATTTCTTCCAGTCATTTCTTGCAATCGTCTTTTTTGCATACTTTTGCTATTTTCAATAAATTTACCCCCTATGTCTAAGGGCCTCCGTGAAGGCATTAATCAGGCATAGAAAAATTTCTAAGGGGGGAGAGGGGTCTAGTGCCAGATTGCCGTATAGAGATGTTTAAATGCAAATCAAATAAAGGCTTACTCTGAAGTTGAAAACTGAAGAGGCCCTCTTCCTCGTTTATTAATTTTTGAAAATCTATCTTCATCCCAATAGACGTACTTTTTAAGATTGTTATTAACTCACAAGAAACTCGGAAGAATCTCTACTGAAAATGTAGGTTTATAGATATCATTCTATTTTTTTCATTTTTGTG